GTGATAATGTCATACAGTCCACTTTCCAAGGCTGCTGTTTCCATCAGGGGAACAGACATCTCTGTGGTCTGGAGATCACTTGCTATTCTGTGAGCGCATCAGCTGGAGGCTGGCAACTCTAGTTCCCAGGCCCAGTCCTTAGAGTCTCCAGTCAGAAGGACTTTATCCCGTGGCTCTGAGAAAGGTCACCGCTGAAGCTCAACTACAGGAGGCTTTTTTAAAACTAGTTGGGTCCAGCTCCCCAGACCCAACTTGCTTTCCTGACAGCCACTCAACAGCTGTGGGGGAACATTTAAAAAGACTGTGGGGGGCTCATTTGGCTAGGGATTCTGATGTGGGGAGCAGGAGGGATTCTGGCCTTTCTTTCTGCCCCATTTCCTGCGACGAAACCTGACCAAGGGGAATTATCTGCCCTATTTTGGAGTTGAGTATGTCATGTTCCATATTTAAAAAAGTATTGTGCACTTTGGCCCAGAGTCACCGCTAGTCAGAGAGGCAACTGCAAATGTTGGACTGTGGGTGTTTCGAAGAGGAGGCAACAAACAAGGTTCATAACCCACAGTGTACCCACAAAAGGAACCCCAGGAGGGATCCTTGGACTGAATTGGCTGCTAGCAAGAACCCAAACTGAACTGGGGATGCTGCAGATTTCTCTGGAACGCATCCTACTATCAAACTTGCTGCATTCTAAGGTGGTGATCAGAAGAAGAGATTGGATTTATACCCCGCCCTTCACTTGGAGTCTCAGAGTGGCTTACAAACTCCTTTCCCTTCCCCACAACAGGCACCCTGTGAGGTGGGTGAGGCTGAGAGAGCTCTGACACAAACTGCTCTTCTTCAAGGACAGCTGTGCCAGAGCTTGTGACTGACCCAAGGTCACACCAGCAGGTGCAAGTGGAGGAGCAGGGAATCAAACCCGGTTCCCCCAGATTAGAGTCCGCGCACTTAACCACTACACCAAACTGGCTCTCAGATGTGAGCCCATCACTCAGTCTCTTCAGTTCATGTCTAGCAGCTGCAATTACCTGCTGA